ATCAATGGAAAGCTTATTTATTCAGCTTTCAGATGATGTATAAATCTCAATTTTAAAAAATGGACCCTTATGACTTGTTTTGTGGTCCAGGGTCACAAATGTGACTGAAGAAAAAACAAAATATTTCTTGAGAGAGACCAGGTGACTAATACGCATTGCTAAGAACTTCATTTGGACAACTTTAAAGATGATTTTCTCAATATTTAGATTTTTTTGCACCCTCAGATTCCAGATTTTCAAATAGTTGTATCTCAGCCAAATATTGTTCTATCCTAACAAACCATACATCAATGGAAACTTATTTATTCAGCTTTCAGATGATGTATAAATCTCAATTTAAAAAAATGGACCCTTATGACTTGTTTTGTGGTCCAGGGTCACAAATGTGACTGAAGAAAAAACAAAATATTTCTTGGGAGAGACCAGGTGACACCTATGGCTATACAGTCCAATATATAATGTCAGTAATTAAGTGGATATGTTACTGCATGAGGTCTATCCAGAATTTGCCGGTAAAGTGCAGGTAGATGTAGAGACGCTGCAGCAGTTCATCCTCTGTGCTGTCTGTTACAGAAGGCTGAGTAGATGCAGATGTTGATCCAGCGAATGTCGTGATTTGTAGACACAGGACAGCAACATTGAGCTGGATCTGGCTGGCTCTCGAACCCTCAGGATAAGTCAAGTGAATATGCAAGAACAACTTACATTTGGCTATTTTGATAGAGTGACTCTATGAAGTGGGTAGCACTATTCCCGTTTACATATATTACATTTATAGTTTTAAACCAGCTAAAGCTTATTTATTGAGCCTGCAGGGCATCCACCGCGTAGCACATTACAGTAATCCAGTCTGGAGGCCGTTAACATATAAATAAGTTCCCTTTCATAGGTTTACTTGGTGCTCCACCTATAGCTGACATCATAGCTATGGGAACACACCCCAGGTGTGACGACTGTCTGAAGCCCATAGAGAAACCAGCCAATTCATAAGGCTTTAGCCGTGCCATCAATCCTCCGATTCTTATTTCTCAGAACCTGTTTATGTTTGTATTTGTGGGAATAGAAGCCATCGTGTTTTGGCAACCTTTTTTAGGATGTGTGTGCTTCTGTGTTTCATTATTAGGGAGGACACTCACGATAAGTATTTGGGCTTTCACTATGCAGAAGCTGTGCTTAATGTTGAACTGCTTGCGAACCTGCTTTCTTTTCAAGAAAAAGGAGGAGGGTCAATGATCCCTTGTCTTTCTGGTTCACACGAGCAGGGGTCGTTGGGAATCCTATGTGGAGCTGGAAGCTATAGAGAGTGACCCAGCGGGCACCTTGATATATTCTTACTCCTCTTTCATCCTCCAGATCTCTAAGATCTTCTGACAGGGTTTTTTTTTTAGCAGTTCCTCGTTCACGTTTAAAAACAAAGTGTGATAGGAAATCAACAGCCACTGGACATTCACCTTGCACCTTCTATTACAACTTTTAAAACGATCTTTACTCCCAGGCATTCTAATTGGATTTTATCTCTGTTTTTATTGTTTTACTGTTTTATGGTTTGTCTTGCTTGTTTTATGTTTTAACCCTTTGATTCTGTTCAGCAATTTGGTCAGCTTTGCTGAGATAAATGTTCTATATAAATAAACTTTACTTACTTGATATCAGTTTGATGTCAAATATTAGTCAAGACTTGATCAAGATGCTGTAGCATCATTTTAAATTCAGTTTGGATGGCAATTTCTTCCAGTGGTAATTGGGTGAAAATGGGAAGTTCATCCAACACTGAAATTGGTTTACTGTATACGTAGGCCAATAACATCAATTTACATCAAATCAATGTCATGTCATTTTTTTCATATTGCATATTCAAAGAGTTTCTCTTCTGCTGGTGGCACCATTCTGGCCATACGGTTCTTGGATATAATATCTCTCCTTCAGGGTCTCATTGGGAAATTCAGGTCAGAACCAATCTGCTATCTAAGGCTCGGGGCAGTGTGTGGCATCCTCAGTCAAAGATGTGGAAACTTTGGGTATGGCCTTTGAACGGGGCTCTCTAATTCAATATGGTCTTTCACCTCAGATTATAGAAACCAGTTTGAATGTGAACACTCTCTCTACTAGGAACCTGTATGCTTTCAAGTGCCATCTGTTTGCATTCTAGTGCAGGAATCACAACTTAGACCTAGTTCTCTGCCCAGTCTATTCAATATTAAAAGTGTTTTTCTGTGGGTGAAGGCCAAGCTACTCTTTAGGTGCTGTCACATTAGCAAAATTTGGAAGAGCAATGGTAAACTTACCAGTTGAGAATACATTAGACAAAGATAGCTGAGGCTGAGTTCATCCTGCTCATGTTCCTTCTTGGGAATTATCTACAGTCTTAGGGTGTAACGTCACTATGGCTTTGAGCTCAAAAGACTTTGAGCATTTAGAGTCGGATTCTGACACTTGAGGTGGTTTTGTTGATGTTTTAACATCCCTAAAGCAGATTGGAGATGTACATGCCTTATCAGTACGGATTTTGCTCTCAGTTTAGCTAAGGTCTTGTTGTGCCCTAGAATAGGGTATGTACCTAAGGTCACTTTTGCTTCTTTCCACTTCACCTCCTGTTTGCATAAGTCCAGGTTTCTTTCTGACTGTCCCAATTTGGTCATTCATATCATTCATAAAATAATTACTGCTGCACTGTAATGGAATATCTGGTTCTCTTGGCACTTCCATGTCTGGCCAGCGGCCACTATACTGAAAAACCTAGAAAGTACCCTTAAAATACCTCTAAATCGGGAGTTCTCAACTCTTCCCTCGAGGTCCACTTTCCTGCAGAGTTTACCTCCAACTTTGATCAAACTCATCTTCCAGTAACTTTCTGGTAATTTCCTGAAGACCTTGAGGAGCTTGTTCAGGTGTGTTTGATTAGGATTGAAGCTAAATTCTGGGGGACAGTGGACCTTGGGGGCCAGAGTTGAGAACTCCTGCTCTAAATTGTTATTCTTCCACCTGTGTTTCATTTTTCAAGATGCTTTCTTAAAAGCATGAGTGCGCTAATTGTACTACAGGGTGAGTCTTTTCTCTGTAACCATTTTTAAACCGAAGAATGCAACACCAACTGAGTGTTGGAGAAGACTATTCATGGTTTCTATCCAAACACAAAGTTCATTAGAACTTTTGGGCACACAGACCACTTGTGAAAGATCTGAAAGAATATCATTGAAGCTTTATTGGTTAATAATAATTCTAGTCTGGTACCAGTCTGGTATCACTATGCAGGCTGAGTGACCTTGGCTTAACTTACTATAAGCGAAACACATGAGAATCAATGTCATCTGCTGTCATTAACGTCAAATCTGGTGCAACCAGATTATCAATATTTCTATAAAATAAAATTAAATGAAATTTCAGGTGATTCAAGAGCTTACTTCAGTGCATTGCCACAGTCTATGTGGGTGGTGTGGTGTAGCAATTAAGGATCAGGGCTGTAAGGTTGCTAGATCTAGATAGAGGTAGACTCACTACCATTGTGTCCTCGAGCAACCCCAGGCTACTTGGGGTAACTTCACTCTTAAAAATAAAGGTGCTTCACGATGCCATAGAAGAACCTTTTTGTCTAAATGGTTCCATAAAGAACCTTTAACAGTTGAAGAACCTTTCTGATTCGCAAAAGCTTCTTTGTGGGGAAAGAAGGTTCTTCCGATTATAAAAAGGTAAGAAAGAGATGGTTCTTTGACTGAATGGTTCTTTGTGGAACCAAAAATGGTTCTTCTATGGCATTGCTGTGAAGAACCTTTTAAGCACCTTTATTTTTAAGAGTGTTGGATGGGACTGACCATGTGTTAATTTCCTTGTGTTATTCTCTGATGACATTACATGAGAGTCGTGGAAATGTGTTAAAAAGCAGACATGCATATTTGATTCCTGTAAACACATGACTCAAACCAAACATTTCTTGAGCACTGTTTGTTTGAGTATCCTGACACAGAAATTACACACTTCGACTTTAAGGTATTATTGCTTTATTTACTATTACAGAAATTTGCAGGAACTATTTGGTTTCATATATTAGTGGTCCATACAATTAAATTAACCAATAAATGTCTTTTACCATAATTTATTCATGATACAAGAATGTTTTCTGTCTACACAAATGATCATACTCAGTTTATGACGTAAAATGTTTTTTTTTTAAAATCTCGAACCATCAAAGGCTTGAAAAATAAACCGATACATTTAAAAACCAAACCTAACCTGAAATACACAAACATTTTAATTCAGGATGTCTTTATGCTTTTTAAACAAACCAGTTTTAAGGAAGATTAGTTTAGTCTACATGTTACTAATCTGCTAATATTCTCTGGACTCAACAAAAGACACAACTGCTCTGTAATGCATTGTGATGTTGTCCAAAATAATTTTCACAATTGTAATGCTGAAAAGACAACACTGAATTAAATTTAATCAGCAACATTAAATCAGCATGAATACCAATACCAGTTTTTGCATGTTAGTGATGCTTTTGTTGCTGGTCAAGCTGATGGACCAGCATAGCCAAGATGACCAGCAAAACTAACCTGGTTTGACCAGCTTTTGTCTTTCCACTGCAGCTAGTTGACTAATGAAGCACTCTGGTGGGGTACCAGCATCCCATGCCAGGACCAGGGAAGGGTAGAACCAACCATTCATAATTATTGATGTATTAATATGGATAGTTCCTCCTAAAATGAAAATCATTTACTCACCCTCATGTCATTCCAAAAAAAAAAGAACATGGCAAGTAGGTTGGAAGCTCTGTAAAGTCATTAGTACTTAGAGCTGCAGTCCGTAACTTTTTTTGGTTAAAAATGATCCATAATGAATTTTTGGGCAAGGACATAACCAGCCAGTGTTCAAAACCATCTCCTTACCTTAGCCCGATTCACAACGGTAAGCTTATAATAGCATACTATAATTTCTAATTTGAGTGGAACTGGTAGGCTATATCGCATGTGAGGATGCTGCAGGTGGCGGATCATTAATAGCCTTTTCTCACAGCAGCTGGAATAATTAGACTTATCATTTTGAAGGCAGATTGTAATCCAGAAAGGTCAATCATCAGTGACAACTAGAGATTCACCTGTAGTCCACAGTTAATGCTAATACACACTAAATACACATAGCCAACGCAATGCTTACATTGTTAACATTAACATTTTGAGAACAAAGCATAACAATAATCATTTGCATGTTTGATGCGATATGAGCTAAGCAATCATTAGATTTAGTCTAATCACCATTGATAGCGTAATGTATTGTAAAGCTTTTTTTCCTCAGTTGGTCTGAACAAAAGTGGCAGACATATTATTTACTTGTTCAGAGGAAATGTTCTGTTGAAAATTCTTATTTGGGTCATACTTCCAAGACGTAGAATCTGTGATTGTTAAGTACAGTATTCACACCGGTGTGGTGACTGACTGCCACACACACACACTCCTCAAAACATGTCACTGCACGATCCACGCAAAGAAGATAACTCCACAATTGCAGCTTTCAAACAGAGATGGCGACAAAGAGCTGAAACTTAAGGACGGCAACTTTAATCATAAAATAATATAACTGGTAATTAAGAAGCTTTCAAGAACTGTATTTGAAATTATTAAGGAGCAATAAACACTGACACAAAAAAATGCATTTAGATTTTTTTGCCGTGTATAACACAGAGCGAACCACACAGGTGCGCTGTTTAGATCAGGCTCCCGTTGAAGAGTCTCTAACAAGTCATTTAATCACACAATGTGTAAACCGCAGTGCACCTTTATGCCACAACTAGGCAAAGTCATTTACTTTCAGTATAGCTGGTGCAACCAGACCCAGAACCCAAACAATGCTGGTGTTTTCAGAAGGGTGGTTTATCGGTATTACGCATTGTATTTTTTGAGCAGATCACTCTGCCAGTGTCTCTTGCGGTCTGGGAAAAGTTTTGGGATGTGGATTTTTCTGAAATCCTCGATGCATTTCTTCAGCTCTTCCTCCATCTGCTTCTTCTCCTCTTCTTCTGGGTCTTTGCTCAGCGGTCCTCCGTTCTCCCTGGTGATGGCGCTGGTGGTGGAGGCCGCGGTGCTGCTGGGTGTGGGCCGGGGCAGTGTTTTCAGAGACAGAGTGGTGGGTCGTGCCGGATTGACCACGGGAAGCGGAGGAGGGCTCGGCTCGCGGGGTAGAGGCGGCTCAGGGCTCTCCAGAGGTGGAGGGAGAGGCGGAAGGGGGTCCGAAAGAGATTCATTGTCCAGGTCAAGAGCAATGTTTGTGTCATCCTGGCTACAAACGCTGGATATATCTGGGTTATATATGGCCTCCTCCACTGCTCTGTCGATATCTGGTTCCCTGAAGCACGGCGATGTGGATGCATTGCCTCCTGTCATTAGAAAAACAAAACAACATTTATTAGCGACACCCCAGATTGGCAGAGTGTGTGCTACAAAATATTCTGTTGCACACCAGTTGACAATTATATGAAATTTAATTCAACAAGTTATAAATTGGGAATTGCTTTAAAATACCAAAGAATGCACAAAAATTGTTGTGTGAGATTAAAAAAATCCTTAAACATTTTCATCGTTCCAACGTGATTGTGTATCATTAGCTTTATAACACACAAAAACATTTGGAATCATGCAATAGGAAAATAATGTAAATCTAGAGCATTTAGTGTACAGAACGCAGGCAACACTTTATTTTGATAGCCCTGCTTCCGGTCGTGCGTATGTGGGGTAAAGCAGTGCTGTTTTATCACACTAGATACATTTGAAAGTTCTGTTATAATGCTATTCTGTGCGGTCGTCACCGGTCTATTAAAATACACAACATATTAAAGCATCTTTGGTGTTTCCGGAAATCGAGGGGTTCTGACGTAATTGGCAGGCGACACAATGACACTATGGACATGCTCTGTGTCACTAGTTAAAATTGCTTATCTCTCTGGATTTAAGCATTCTTCGAAACATTTGGGATAATGTAAGTACACAAGTCAGCAAAATATATAACACAGTTCTAGTGGTTTTTGGATATTTTAATAAAAAAATCTTACATATTGTGCCTCTAAGTCACTCTCAAAAATGTCTAAATATCATTGCATTAGATACAAAATATCAAAACTAATGTCATCTGTGCTCTCTCAGAACTAACACCAGTTTCCTAAGTCATTTTTGCAATGACTTCTAATCAACTGGTGTTTCAGTGGATGTATGAAGGCAGTTCTCCTCAACTTCACACAGATGTTGTTCATTACATTAACTATGAACACTAATTATTCACTAGCACAAAGTGCTAATACTTGTCTTATTTCTAACCTTATATCTATTATTTTTATCATTTTGTTTCAAATATTTTTTTCACATGTTAACAAATGTGTTCATGCTACTTTCTTTAAAATGACACATGCTTTGATATTTTGTTATCTAATGCAGTGACTTTTTTTCTTACCCTAAACCAGTTAAGTGCTCCAGCACCAATTCTCAAGATTGGTCATGTCAGTGCTGATTGCCTCCCTAACCTTAAACGTTTTTAGTATATGCTAAATATACAGTACTGTACAAAAGTCTTAGGCCACTAGTATTTTCACCAGCTAAAAAAATGGTTTCAAGTCAGTTATTTCTATCTTTTGCTGTAGTGTGTCAGTAGGAAATATCAGTTTACATTTCCAAACATTCATTTTGCCATTAATTGTAATAATCCAGAGAGATTTTTGTCTGACAGCAGCCAGTGCTCCACACAGAGATCTGGGCTCGTATTCACAAAACATTTATCTTACCACTAAGAGTTCTCCTAAACAGCAGTAAAGGTTTTTAGCTAAGAGTTTTCTCTTAAAACCTATTCACAAAGCTGCTGAGACAAGCTTTTACTAAGGAACAGAGAGAAGAAGCTCAGAGTAAGGGGGCGGGGTCACGCTTGTTGCTATGGATGATGTCAGCGTGCTTATTAACTATGCACACAGTGATTGGCTGATAGTCTCTGTCTGAGATTTATTCATAGAAATATTGCAGAGCACAGTGTTATGTTGCCACATTCAAATAAAGATTTTAAAATGCAGGCTAAGTATCAATAAATAAACAAGTATATGTTCAGATAATTGTCAGCCTCCTGCAGGTATGCTTCTCACAATTAGCGGATATGCATATAAACAGCCTTTTAATTAACAGAGTAGAATAATCATCGCTGATAGTAAGACATGCAAACCTAAAAGAAAACCAAACTGGACGCAAGAACAGCTGTTACTTCTTGCCCAACTGGTTAATATTTCTAAAATGTTCACGTTCCGAGGCAGATCGCCGGCAACAGCTGTTAGGATAGTTTGTGGCTTGGTTTTAGTGACTTAGGACTCCTCTTCACTGCTCCTAACCTTTCACAGATTTAGGAGCTAGTTTTAGTGCTCAAACACTTTGTGAAATACTCTTAGAGCAAAAATGTAGGATTGACACGCCTATTATATTTAAGGTTTTCTCCTTAATTTGGCAAGTTATGATGAGCTACTTTTAGGCTTAAGATGTTTTGTGACTACGAGTCCAGATCTGATCATCATCAGTCTGTCTGGAGTCACATGAAGAAACAGAACAAACCGAGACAGACTCAGAAGAAGAACCGATGCTTCAAGAAACCTCCTACAAAGCTACAGTACTGTTAACCATTTTAGGCTCTTGTGTAAAAATGCTGTAAAATGAGGATGCTGTCAATAATAATGTCATTGTTAATAAAGAATAACAATTTGGTCCCTCAGTAAATTCTCTTTGCCACCTTGAAGAATTCTCAGTTACTTCAATTTATTCATAGAAATACAGATATTATATAGGCATATGTCGAGGGGAGTTTCATCCTCTTAACCAATGAGGATATGAATAACATACACGTAGGATCTTTGGCCAAGAACATGTGTTTATATAAAATAGCCACATGTACAGAAAAACATGGACATATTAGGAATAGACTTTTGCGAAGAATGCTGAACTGTCTTCATGGTTTCATCACGAACTCCTTTACCCTTGTAGTCCTAACATTCATGTCCTTATTTGGGACATTTGAACCAAGAGAAGCTAATGTATACATTTAAGCATGCATACCTTGCATATAAGTAAGACATATTTAAAACATAATATCAAGAGAGAGAGATGGATATAGAAGGGGGAATTCAGAGAGAATGCATTGTATGTGAGAGTGAGAGAGAGAAAAAGGAAAGGAGGGGGAATAAGAGAGAGGAAAAAAAGGAGGGGTAAGGCATGTCTGGAATCAACAGAAAGACAGAGTGTTTTCTAACAGTCATAAATAGATTTTCTTGATCAATTAACTTCTATTAACTAAACTAAATCACAGTTGGATGTGCGAGAACTTTCTTCAGTTAAGTTAAATTCATTTAAATAGATTTTTTAAATCATTTTCAAAGTTTTTAAATTCCTTGTTTTATTTTTGTGATTTTTTTAAATGATTATTTTACTTTATGTAAAGCACTTTGAACTACCATTGTGTACGAAATGTGCTATATAAATAAACTTGCCTTGCCTTACAGCAAAAGATAGAAATAACCGACTTAAAACCTCTTTTTTTAGCTGGTGAGAATACTAGAGTTCTAAGATTTTGCGCAGTACTGTATGTGTTAATATAATATTTTTAAATGAATATTTACTTTCATATTTCACATTTGCCCGCATATACCAAAATATATGTGGGAAAAACGTGTTCCAGGGGCAAGAAAACACATTTCCAATCTTACAGCAGCCTACATTTAGGCTTTATTAATTATTTATTTTTTATTTAAATGTGTTGTATGTTCAAATGTGTTACAGACAACAAATAAAGTTTTTATTCAAATGTGAAGAATGCATATATATCCTGATAGATAGCATTACTGTTGGACATGATTTAATCCATTATGAATTTCCTGATCTCTAAACTGAATCCATGAAGTCTGAATGTTTGTTAATAAAGGACTGTGTGATTGAGCTGCCCAATGAAATCAGCTATGAGCTTGGGAGAAAAATCACGCCATTCAGACATAATTACAGTAAGTGTGACATAAGTGTCCAATTACATTTGGAGCAACTGCATGCCTGACATCTGCTCCTGCATTGAGCACATGTATGGAGGAGTGAGTACAGATCACATGAGTACAGGTGGAGAACAGCTGACCCAGGCTGCCTGGTGTTTATTTGGGAATGAGGATACAGGATTTGCTGGGAAGAGCTCCAGGAGGACATGCTGCCAGATCTGTTCTGTGTCTCCTGATGTCTGTTTGTTATATCAGTAGTGCAAAGTGTGAGAAAATGATCAGCTGTGTACGACGATGAGAAAATGCCCCTGGCTTTCACTTGTGTTCGAGCTCTGGCATCATTTCATCTGCTTCCAATCACATACATAAACTCCCTCATTCAGCCACAGGCTCATCGGCACTGAAACCAGCTTACATAACCCAAAAACAACTGTTCCAGTGCCGCCGCTACCTGTCTTTGTGAGAGTGTGTGTGAGTGTGTGAGAGTGAGTGAGTGAGAGTGTGTGAGAGTGAGTGAGTGAGTGAGTGAGTGAGAGTGTGTGAGTGTGTGAGAGTGAGTGAG